ACAAGAATGGCTGGGGGTAATTAAAACCAAAGCTCGTAACACTATCCCAGTGACAAGAGTAAAAGAAACTGATGAAATTGACAATGCTTACCAAGATGATTATGGCTGCCAGGTTCCTATACACATTGCTGATGATGACATCCATCCGATCCTTGTTGACACTACAGCTGAATTAGAGACAATCCCTGCTCAAAGCATTGATAGTGATGACACAGACATTGAGGAACCACAATTCTTGTCATCATCTGAAGCAGAACACGATGATTATGAAACTGAGGAGACTGAAGAAGAAGAAGACCTGGTTCAAAATGAGGAATCAGAATGAAATGCCAATTATAAACAATCATTAGAGAACTGTGTAACATTCATGACATATTATGTTTGTTTGTGGTCATATTTCTTGTGATATGTCAATGTAGTTGTAATTGTTGTAATATTTGGTACTATCAAATACTTATCTTTGGATGTATTGTTAATTTTGATGACATATTATAGAGATTGTAATGGTAAACTAATATTTGTTACATTTTCACAAATGATCAATTCTTATGGAGATTGTAATAGTAAACTGATATAACAATCATGAATGTTTCTTTTTGCAGATGAAGACATTTGACAGTACACATGGTAGGGGTGGAGGTAAGGATACTACCTCTCTACGTACATATGGACGAGGGGCCATTAACCGTCGAGGGCAGGACCACACGTCATTCTCTTCACGTATGCAAACAACATCACCAGATGCACAATCACCACCATCGGCAGTCCCGAGACGCAGGAGACGTTTGTAGCTTCTACTGAAGAAGCAAATGAGGTTATCCGACTAATTATGCACATATTCTACATTTTTTATTCCAAAAAATTTATGTTCACATTTGCTTATTGTAAAAAATTTTGTCTTTATCTCTTGTTTTTGTTAAACAGGATCACGCTTCGTCCCCACCAGAGGCTCCATATTATGGACCACCTCCGCCTGTAATACAGGATCTTGTTCCACGATGGGGGAGAAAGATCCTGTGGACAGTCGTATATGGGTACGACCGACCATTGATGGGAGCAAGTAAGTACAAGAAATGTTAATGGTAGTTGTGATATTTTTTCAATACATCTACATATAAGTGTTGACAATAATTTAAATGCATTGATGAATATAATCAAATTACAATCTATTTCAGCTTTGAACCATGGGATGTAGTGCGCAAAATATGGGGTATAATCAAGCGCAACTATGACGGTCCATACCCTACATATAAGGCAGTTCCAACCAATGTCAAGGAGAACTGGTTTAACTCATTGATGGTAATGTTGCCCTTCAAATCTGACCATATTAATATTTATGTATGATTCAACGTTTTTGAAGCTAATGTTGAACTTTTTTCTAAATTGTCTTGTTTCATCATTGTAGGAAAAATATAAATACTTGCCGGATGACGAATATCTTTTTCAGAAAGCATACAAGACCAAAGCCAATGACATAATCAGAAATCACTTGAATTTGATAAGAAAAGGAAAGGGCGATATGTCTTGGATGAGACAAGATGTTCTTGATGGTTTGAAGGTTCACTGGTCTAATGAAAAATGGAAGAAAATGGCTGAATCAAATAAGAGGAACAGGTCCAAATTTGACGGACCTACACATTCTGGAGGTTCAATTCCATTTCATGAGCATGCAAGGCGGTTGGTAAGAATACTTACAATTTTTCATATGCATGTAGATTCATAAAATGGTAAGCCATTTTTTATACTTAGCGTATTATGTTCTGATTGTTTATGTACATATATACACAGCAGGAAGATGGGGTCACAGATCCGTCTGCCGTGGGTTGGGCTGTGTTCAAGCATACACACACATCTAAAGAAGATCGTGACAAGTGGTGCAATGACAAGGCAAAGGCAACAGCTGTGAGTAATATCTATTGTTACACCAAATGTTTACTTTACAAAAGAAATTGATTTGTTTTATTGCACCTGACTTTAACACATGAATACTTTCTATGTAAATTTTAGGATGGCTTTACGAGACTTAGGGAAGAGAGAGACAGTCAAGTCACTCTAGGAGAGGATGCTAGCAGTGTTGCCTCGGATAATGATTTGATCGTGCAGGCATCTGGTGGGGTTAACCTTAAAGGACGGTTATACGGTTTAGGTACACTGGGAGGAGCATATAAGAAATCTCGACTCTCCAATAGGCTACCACTTGGAGTGTCCCAGCAAGAGCATGAGAGGATGCGCACATTGATTATGCAGTTGCAGGGTACAGTTGCACAGCAAGAGGAGAGGGCTGCACAGCAAGAGGAGAGGGTTGAACAACAAGAGAAGGCTGCACAGCAGGAGAAAAAGGCTCAGCAACAGGATAGTCTCATGGTTATGATGCAGAGGCGAATGGACAAAATGGAGAAGCTTTTGCAAAGGCTTCCTGTGGAATTATTAGATACTGAGTTGACGACGAGACTCAGCCCCCGTCTCAGGTCGTAGGTGATGACTATGATCATGCAGGTCATCCATCAGCATGACTTTTGTATCTTTGTTGGATGTATATGACATGGACTATTGTACATAGACTCTTTTGATTAGTATATGATAGGGACTTTTGTATATGTATGTCCCTTTTGATTAGCATATGTCTTGCACATTTATAGATACATGACACTTTTGATTAGTATATGACAGGGACTTTTGTATATGTATGTCCCTTCTCATTAGTATATGTCTTGGACATTTATAGATGTAGGACTGTTTTTATTTGTATATGACAAGGACTTTTGTATATGTATGTCCCTTTTGATTAGCATATGTCTTGGACATTTATATATATAGCACTCTTTTTATTAGTATATGATAGAGACTTTTGTATATGTATGTCTCTTTTGATTAGTATGTCTTGGACATTTATTCATATAGGAATCTTTGGATTAGTATATGACATGGACTTTTGTTTATGTATATGTCTTGGACATTTATATATATAAGTCTCTTTTGATTTGTATATGGCAGGGACTTTTGTACACATAAATTATAGTAACATCAAATAATTTTGATATGTTATTATAATTATATTTGTTTATCAGGTGTGAAACAAATGAAAAAGCAATTTCATCGAAAATTGAGACAAGATTTTTCGACGGAATTATATTCATTTTCTGTCGAAAATTTTCGACGGAATTAGTTTTCTGTCGAAAATCATTACAAAATTTTTTGACGGAATTTCATTCATTTCCGTCGAAAAATTTCGACGGAATTTGTTTTCCGTCGAAAGTCATTACAAGATTTTTTGACGGAATTTCAATCATTTTCCGTAGGAAATTTTCGACGGAATTTGTTTTCCGTCGAAAGTCATTACAAGATTTTTCGACGGAATTTCATTCATTTTCCGTCGAAAATTGAGACAAGATATTTTGACGGAATTTCATTCATTTTACGTCGAAAATTTTCGACGAAATTATTTTTGCGTAGAAACTTTCAACAGAAATTATTTCATCGAAATTTCCGTCGAAATTTTTCGACGGAATCTGTAATTCTGTCAAAAAAATTGTTACCCACGAAGATATTTTCAACGGCATCATTTCCATCGAAAATTCCGTCGAAAACATCATTTTCGACGGAATTTTAACCATTTTCGACAGAATTTTTCCGTAAAAAAAAAGACATTTTCTAGTAGTGCTCGCATATAGAGGGATAAAAACGGAAAGAAAGTGAAAGGAGGGATAAGATTGGAAAAACAAAAAATTTGATTATGAGAGGGACAACCAGAAATTAACATGAGCCGAAAGTTTAGAATTTTTTTTCCCTTTCTTCCATTAATTGATTCGTAACTATTATTAAATCGTTATTCATCGTCATTTATTAATTAAATACTGCAACTCTTACATTAATTACTCTAACAACAATGATTTTTAAATTTCAATTTTCAATTTACGGATTTCAAATTTTAATATTGTAATTGAACTAACTAGTGCCGCATTAATTAAACATGCAATGGAAAAATTGTTACAAATTTTTTTATTATTTAAAAAAATAATTTTTAAAAGCAAGCGAAAGCATTTTTATGAAAAACAAATCACATGTAAACTGTAACATTTAGGAAATTCTTAAATTAATTATTAGAAATTTTTTACATTTAAAATGTTGTCTTATTTACTAATTTAATTAAAAAATATTATAAATTTAAAAATAAATTCTTAAATTGATCTATTTCAAAATTATGATTCTAATTTAGATTTATTCTAAAAATAGATATAATATATCATTAAAAAATGAAAATTTTGAAATTCACAATTAAGTATTCATATAATTAACTTAACTACTTAAACTTAATTGTGAACACTTAATTTTGACTTCATTTAAAAAAGTTAAAAATCAGCTAAATCTTTTAAAAGTTTAAGTAATTAAAGAAAAAAAATATACATGTTCTTTCCTTAACTTAATCTAAATTATATTTTACAGCTAAAGTAATGATTACCCCATTACGCTTGATCACTTACCCTTGATTTCCTTTCTAAACTCATGCCAAATAAATAAATTCTCGTAAAAAAAATCAAATAAAAAATCTTGACCATTTTTAATTTTATCTTGTTCTTCTCGAAGAATTTTGTCTCCCTTATGCAACAACACCCCCTGGCCCCCGCAATCTTTTACCTTTATACGTCAAGGGGATTTTTACTAAGATGCACAGAGCAATATAATATTCCAATAAAATACTGAAATTCATTAAAAGAAAATATTACAAACAAGCCCTTACCAAAATAAAAATAAAATAAAATTACAAACCAGGGGAATTTTTCTGGGGGATCGGAGGAAGGGGAGACAAAGCATCACTTTATATACTCTTAGTGTTTGTTGTCCTTGTGTGTCTTCAATGATCTCAGAAACACCAAGCCATACATTTATTTTTGTAGAACATTTCTAGCATAAGGCACCAAAATTAAGCATCTATTTTTGGCGCTATTATTATTATTATACGTGCTTCTCGTGCATGCGTGTAATTAAATTCATGTCATCCTTCACATTGTCTCAGTCCGCGAAACCTGACGAGTGACCGGAACCCTATCATTATTTGGTGTTGCTGCGAGTTCACTCTCTCTTCCATCCTCACCAGAAATTTGTTCCAGCGATCGTCCCTTTGTTTCGGTAACCAAGAATGAAACGCAGAACCCGAACAAGTTAGTCACGGCCAGAATCAACATCGCCCTTCTCACCTTTTTCGGTGTACCGTCCAAGGTGTAGGTTTGTATTCCAAAAGCAGCAACCATAGCACCAGCCTTCCCCGCCGCTGCGCTCAGCGCATGACACGTCGACCTCACCCTCGTCGGGAACAGCTCCGCTGGCAGCACGAATGTCGTGCTGTTTGTTGAAGATTAAATCAACGTTAGTTAGAATAAGTAGATAACAAACCTTATAGGATTAGTTCAAATTTGTAGTATATATAGTTGCTTGTAAGACAAACAAACAACTTTCTTTAAAGGATCATTTTAACCAAAACTTAAATTGTTTGGATGAGGTTATGCCTCCTCACAGAGTGTTTATTGAGCTTGAAAAGTAGATAATACATCAAGTTCAGTCTAATTGTACTAAAAAATTATATGGTGAGGATCGAGCTCATAATCAGTAGTCGTTGGGGTGTTCATCAACCGATCCAAACCGATTCAAACCGCGATGACCGAACCGAAAAACCGATAACCGAACAAATCGAAAACCGAAAAATTGAAAACCGAAAAAAAAACCGCAACTTTTAATTGGATTGGATCGGTTTTCGGATTGCTTAATGAAAACCGATTCAATCCAAACCGATCCAATATATTAATTCCCCTCTACTTACTTTGGTCTTTCTCCAATCATAATCCAAAAATTTCTAAACTCAAGACCCATTAACCCATCAACTAAACTCAAGAAAAAACCTAGTCACATCTCATCAACAAAATTTCATCTGCATAGAGCTTCATATCTCATTGCCCCCCCCCAAAAAAAACTATATTATCGTTTACTGATGTTTTTGTATTTAATTTTTTTTTTTACAAAGCCAATATATATATAAAAGATGTTATCTGCATGAAACAAATTTTAGAATTTTCAAAAAACTGAAAACTGATCCAATCCAAACCGAAAACTGATCCAATCCAAACCGAAAAAAATTGGATTGGATCGGATTTGAAAAAAAGTCCAAACCGAATGGATGATTACATGGTCAAACCGAAGGGATTGGATCGGATGATATTTACTTCCAAAACTGATCCAATCCAGACCGCGAACACCCCTAGTAGTCGCGTTAGCTTTGATTGTAAAAAATTATTTCAACTCAAAAATTTAAAATTTGAACTGCTTTTTAAATTGATAAAATATAAAAACTATTGGTGGGTCTTTAATTCTAAACTTAAGTTGTTGGATTGAATTGATTACTTTATATAATATCAGAATTTTTGTGACTACTAAGTCACAAATTTGATTCCCATCACCTCCTCTTTCTATGAGCAATATCCATGTTTTAAACCAAGAGAGTTATTGTGTGAAGGAGTGTATTAGATGAATATAATATAAAACTAATCTTCACTTCTCAACTTAAGCTTTTAAATTAAAATAATTAATTATATCGGCCACGTTAATGATTTTATATTTCTCAACGGATAAGATATTTGCCTTAAGAGATAACAAACCTGTTCGGTCCAAAGTTGGCGAAGAAGAACGTCAACGCATAGAGGAAAGCGAAGAGGTGAGCGTTGTCATTCTTGAGGTAATCATATTTGACACCAATGACGAACATGAAGAAAGACATCATGAAGAACCCAATGAGTTGGATCTTGTAGCGTCCAAGCTTTTCAATGAAAGCGACAGTGAACCAATAACCAGGGAAGGTTCCGCACAAAGCAATCACGAACATGGCACGTGCGGTTTGGAACACTTCTTCAAGAGCATTCATATCCACGTCCTTGTCTATGAGTCCCATTGCGGGGAAAATATCCTTCTGAGTTAAGTTCTGGCTATAGAAAGCAATGTCTAACAAGAACCACGCGCTCATTGTTCCAATAAGGTGACGACCATGTCGTTGAAAGAACTCGTTTGACCATAAAGGGTAATTGTTTGCTGATTTGAACTCTGTTAATTTGTCTTGATCTGCTTGGATTTCAATGTCCAAAACCCTAGCCATATCTGCAGCTGCTTGCTTTGCGTTCCCTTCAATTATAGCAGTGTAACGACCCGTTTCTGGCATCTTCATCCTCCAATAGAAAGTCAACATGGCTGGGACGGCTCCAATCATGAGAACTAAGCGCCATAGAAAATCACCCTCGGGTTGTGTTGACAACACCTCGTTCTGCGTGTAAGTGGGAGCGTCAAAGTAAGACTTGAAAACACTCGACAACACCATGGAGACCAAACCTGCAAAGATGATTCCCACGCCTTGCATGGCGAAGACAGCAGCTATGAAAGCTCCACGTGTCCTTTTATTGGCGTATTCGGACATGATGGTGGCAGAGAGAGGGTAGTCACCACCAATACCAAACCCAAGCCAGAACCTGAAGAAACACAAAGTTCCCATAACGGACTTTGCCGATGCACCAAAAGACAGGCCAGAACATACGGCACAAACGACCATGAGAACGAGTGTGATTCCATAAACTTTTTTGCGACCTAGTTTGTCTCCGAGATAGCCAAAGAATAATTGACCACAGAGTGTTCCTATTAGGGCCACACCGGTTACGAAATTGTTAACTGGGGTTGGGAGTTTTCCCGGTTTGTTTGTTGAAGGATCGAAGTAATATAAACGGCCTAATAGTTTTGCAACTGTGGAGATGCAAAAGAGGTCGTAGGCATCGGTGAAAAAACCCATGCCTGCTATTACTATGGCCGTCACGTGATACCATTGCGTGCGTGCTGAATCAAGCGCGTCAAGCACTTCTAACGCCATTTTGAAGGACGTTTAATTAATTTGTTTCAGTGGTGTGTTTGCTCTTGATGTGTTACCCTTCTTATTTATACTGTCATAGATGTTTCTATGGCTATAGTGATGAATTGATAATATATACAGGAATGGTTGTTTGCTTCTAAGCCTAGGGGAATGTGAACAAGAAAAATTGGAATTGCTATGTTGTTATGAGGATATTCTCCTTGCGTTGATCGACAAACAAGACATTCTTGTTGGAGATGTTAAAATTTGTACATCTTTTTGTTTGTTATTAGGAGTCAAGACAGCGAGCTGTGGCATTAATTATTATTATTATCATTTTGTTTTTAGCTGCTTGTGTACACAATAGTATGATATACCAACAAAATGAAGTGAGCGGGAGACAAACGTTAATACCGAATATAGAAAACTAAGCTTGTGTACAATGTTCTTGATAAACACGCGAGAATGTGTGAGATTAATTACTTTAAAATTCATTATTATGCAAATACTATTTAGACAGAAAGTTGGCCCGAATTCCAGTTGCTCGAATATATATATATATATATATATATATATATATATATATATATATATATATATATATATATATTATTTTGTTGTATATTTTTTATAATTGTTTTGATTTAATTCTGACTTGATTGACCAATTTATGTAGCAATTAAAGGGAATCCGTTAGATGGAGAGATTGCTGGAATTATATGGAGAGATTTTAGAAGTTTTAATTTCCTGATTATTTGTAATTTTCTTCCTTGATTTATGGCTGATTTGTAGCTTGATTTATGACTGATTTGTAACTCTAAATTACTATTCTATAGAGTTCCTTGATTTGTAACATGATATCAAAGCCTCTCTATTCTAATCCAGCAAAAGGACACTGAAATCAGTCTCACATGTATCTATACATGAAGTGTAATTCTGAAATCATTTTCACTTTCTTTCATTATTCCATTCTCCCCAGCAAAGCAATGGCCACTACCTTTGATGAAAGTCCCCAGCAACTCACTACCAATGCTGCTTACTCGATTACTGTTGGTAAAACTCCTATTTTCCCTGCATGTTCTAGATATGATATTTGGATAATTGACACTGGAGTTTCTGATCATATGATAAAGGACTCTAGTAAGTTGCATTATTTTTTGCCTTCTTCTCAATCATTTATTTCTAATCCTAATGGTAGTACCTCTTCTATCACTGGTAAATGATCTCTTATCATGTTTGAACATCTTCATTTGACTTCTATTTTGGTTGTCCATTCCCTTGAATATAACTTACTTTCCGTAGCACAATTTACTAATACCTTGAACTGTACTGTCACCTTTTGGCCCTCATTTTGTGTGTTCCAGGACATTTCCACCTGGAAGACTCTTGGCTACGGTGTTAAGCGAGACAAACTTTATTATCTGGATGTTACCGAAAAAGGACAGAATAAATTGAGAGAGATCAATCATGCCAGTAGTGAAGATAAGTCTCGGGAAACAATTTGGCTTTGACACAAAAGACTAGGACATATCTCTTTTGGCTATTTGAAAAAATTACATCCAAGATTGTTTTCTAGTTTGAATATTGATGATTTCCATTGTAACAAATGTGAACTAGCAAAAAGTCATTGTATTTTCTATTCTCCTAGTATTAATAAAAGTTCAATTCCTTTTGAAGTTGTTCACTCGGATGTTTAGGGACCTGCTAGTGTCCCTTCCCTATCTAAAGCTCGATACTTTGTGACATTTATAGATGATTGGGTTATGTTGTTACATTAGAAAAGTGATGTATTTATAGCCTTCCAAACTTTTCACCGAATGGTAGCCACTCAATTTCAATGCCAGATCCAAATTTTGCAGTCTGATAATGGGACCGAATATACAAATAATTTTTTTTTTTGCGCAGTTCTTGAATTACCAGAGGATTAGACATCAGACCTTTTGTACTTATACACCACATCAAAATGGTTTGGTCGAAAGGAAGAATAGACAACTTATGGAGGTTGTTCGTGCCTCTCTATTTGGCATGAATATGCCCCATTTTTACTGGGGTGAAGTTGTTTGCTCTATTTCTTATTTGATTAATCGTACCCTTTTTAGTGTCATCAACTTTGTGACTCCACAACAGAAGTTTGAATCACTACTTTCAATTTCCCACATTCTCAATCTTGAGCCTCATGTGTTTGGCTGCACTGTTTATGTCCATATTCCCAAAGTACTGTGTAACAAACTAGATTCATGTGCTAAAAGGTGTGTGTCTGTTGATTGCTCTGATGTTCATAAAGGATACCGGTGTTATGAGCCCCAACAATAAAAAGTACATATCACTCTAGATGTATTTTTTCAGAAATTTGAACCTTATTATTCAGGGGGAGTTTTTGGGTCTCCTCTTCAAGGGGAGAGTCACTATGAAGAGCAAGACAAACTAGCCACCTTATCGAATGAAGGAAGAACTAAAGCAACACATATAGGTGTGGAGAATGTTGGAGTCTTACACTCTAACTCTCCATTAACAGCAGAAATACCTTGCTTAACACCAGAAACTAGGGATCTCTCCAGGACCACCATAACCCAACAGAGGTAATTTATAATCTTACTCTTCTTGAAGAAAATATCTTTCAGAATGATAATATACCCACTAAAAGTGTCATTGTGTTTCCTGATATTCCTATTGAAACCATGATTTGTTCTGGTACATAACTCTCAGAAGATCACATAGGATCAATAAGGGTGTCTCAAAGAAACTGTATGAACCTGACCCCAATGCTAAAGCTAAATATCCTATTAGTAACTATGTGTCTAATCACAGGTTGTCTGAGTCATATGCTCTTACTGTTGATCAATTGTCCTGTATATCTGTACCTAGTAATGTGCAGGATGCATTGGAGGATCCGAATTTGAAGAAGGCAATGAATGATGAAATGGAGGCCTTGCAAAAGAACTCTACTTGTGAACTCATGCCCTTACTAGATGGCAAAAGAACCATTGGATGTAGATGGGTGTTTACTGTAAAGCTAAAGTTTTACAATATATTTTGAACAAAATATATGTTCCTCAATTTTACATATTGCATCTTGTAAAATTCCGTACGTTATTATATATTTATTGAGGAATAATAATACAATAATTCGTAAGAACATTTCTTAAGTTTTGCTTTCTTCTCTCTCTTCCTAACTTATATTCTTCTTATTTTTTCAGCAAATAAATCTTAATTATGCTCCATAAGAACTCTCCTCCCGGACGCAACCAAGATCCTTGAGGAAAATATAGAAACTCAACGTAAGTAATATGACTTCAATCGTATTGCTTGGTGAACGTTACACGTACAACTATATATATTAAAGAATTGCACTTTACAATTGAAAGAACAAACTTAAAGAAGAGACTTTGTTTGACAACGACAGGAAAGTTGGCTGTAGAACGTTTAATTCAGATTTGTGTTCCAAAATCTTGGGATATTAATTGTGATGGAATCCCATATTAGTTTCTAATTGATTAAAAGAAGTTCATATAAATAGGAGGATTTATTAACCCAATGCCTTTAGGTTTTAGGTTGACACACATGGTGTCAGATTTACTTACTATGATTGGTGTAACTTAGTCTATTGGTAACGGCATGTTGCGAAATCAACAAGTATACCGATCGTTCAAGTAATAAAATGATGAGTAGAGTATCGTCTTCACGAGGATTGAAGCACCGAATTTATTATAACTATTCCTTTCTTGTCGAATTAATAAAATTAGTTTACAGACAGTTGTAATTTGTGAAAAACAAGAACAAATCAAGAAGATAGAAATAGTTTCCAAGATTCTTTTTAAACTCAATAACACATATTAATGGTTGAGAAAATATTTGATAAAATATTGCGTTAAAGAGAAACAAACACCTTAATGCTCCCCACCTTGTAACCTGAATTAACGTTTATCTTTAACTATGCAATTGATCAAACAATTCACCATCTTTTAATTAATTGGTTAAGCCTTAATTCCTTAATAATTTTAACGTTATTAACTCTATTACAATCTTAATCCCTTAGAAATCCCTTTTTAAGTTAAGCCTTAGAATCAGTGAATCTTTCACGTTTGCAGTTCATATAGCCTATCCCTAGTGCATACATGAACAGTTATCTTACCTTTTGTCAGGAATTAAAATCTCAATATCCCTATTGAAAATCCTAACCCTCGCAATCCTAATAGATTGATCAATTCTAGAAGAATTATAAGATGAAGAACAAGCAAAATAAATGCAATTGGAATAAATAAATATAAATTTAACCAAACTACAAGGGATTCACATTAAGAGTTGTGACCCTTACCACAATAATAAAAGACTAACCAGACATATTCATGTCTGACAAATTAATGAATGAAAAAGAATTCATGAAAGAATAAAATCGGAGATAGAAGAAGATAAAGAAAATGAAATCTTGAATCTTCAACTCCTCCGAGTATTAATCTTCAGCCTTTCAATCCCAGAGCTTTCTCTCAATTTTTGTTTTTGTAATTTCCTTCCTCGTAAAGATCCTCCTTTAGGGTTTTTGACTCCCTTTTTATATTCTACTGCCCAATTAGGTCATAATCTTCTGAGAGATTTGATTTAATTTCTGTTTTAGCAAACTCCACTAAATCAAAAATTGTAGTCGCGACGCCCGCGCGATCAGCGCCAATGTCCCGCGATCCGCGTAGGCAGGCAGTGGACAACAGCCGCAATTGGCGCGATCAGCGTAGATAACACACTATTTGCGTGAAAAGACAGTGGTGTTGGCCTTTTCATCCTCATTCTTAGCGCGATCAGCGTCAATGTGGCGCGGTTAGCGTGGAAAGGCCGTGATCATGGCGCGATCCGCATCATTTTTGCGCTGTTCGCGCGAGATGATTGTCTGTAATAGTACCTTTTTGCATGCTTTCTTCCTATATAAACATAGAATCAAAGTGCGAGTGTGCCTGAAGATAGATTATCAATAATTCTTCAAAAATAATAACTTTTATTACTGAATTACTGTCAAATCCTTGTTCTTTTAC